CTGGTGGAAGGTGTCCCTGCCCATGGCAGGGGGTGGCACTGGATGATCTTTAAGGTCCCTTCCAACCCAAACCATCCTGTGATTCTGGGATCTCCAGCTAATGCTGAGCTTTCCTTCATTTCCATTTCCCTGCTTTCCCTCATTTCCATGCCATGAAATCCTTTGACCACCTGAGAGCCATTAAGGAAAGATTTCCTCTGGGAAGAGAGACAGAGTTTTTGTGCTGAAAACATCAAGCTGTGCAGGTCTTACCTTGACAGAGTTGTAGAAAGCCTCAAACACCCCCACACTTTTGGCACTGAGCTGCAGATTTACTGACCCCTCCATGGTTAAGGAGATTCCCTGGTGCTGGACTGTGTCCTTGCTTGTGATGACCACAACTCCAGAAAGAACTTCCTGATGGGAAAGAAGACAACATGAAAACATTTGTTTAAATCCACTTTTTCCAGAGCTGTTGGCCAGACAGTGTGTAACTGATCTTCAAACTCGAGGAAACTGTTCCCAAAGAACGGTGTAACCTCGTCAGGAGACACAAAGAGTGATGATAAAGGAATGTAGGGAGAGAGCTCTGCACTTCTGGCTTGCTTTCCTTAAAAATATCGTCCTCCTCTTTGCAGAAGAGCTTCAACTTCTTCCCAAAGTTTCAAGATCTTCCTCTCCAGGAAGATGAAAAACACCCCCAGCAACAACAATTGGGTCAGCTGGCAACGGACAAGTTCCATTCCATGTGTTAGAATAAACTTCCAGGAGGAACTGTCCCATGGGAAGTGGGATGGACAGCCATGGGAGAGGGAAGGCACAACTGAGAAGGTGTGACTCAAGAGTGGGGCAGAATAGACTTAAAATACATAAACAAAATACATAAAAAACCAGCTGCTCTGCCACAGGAACAAGGAGAAATAGTTTTAAAGTGTATCTGAATCCAAGGCATGAGTTGTGTGACTCCAGGAATGTGTCACTTCAACCCAGGAAGGATGTTTTGTGCACAAAACATCCTTTTGCTGCATCCTCAGAGTATCAGCTCAGGAGTTCTGACAGGGAGAAACAGGTGAGTGCAGGGGAGCAACACACGATTCACTTCCCATTCCCCACAGTTCATCCTTCCCCTCTCCAGCACCAAAGAATCTGCTTCAATCCTGAGCTCCATGGAAAAATTCACAGCTGGAAAGGGCAGCAAGTGATGGACAAGCTGAAAAGTTCCCAAGGGATAATCTTCTCTCCTGCTCCTTCACCAGGCAAACAGACACCAAGGTAGAGCTCACTCCAAGCATGGGAGAATTCCCACTGCCCTCTCCCCACCCAACCAGCTCAAACCAGGCCCTCCTGTTGGAATTTTGGCAGCCTTTTGTCTTTCCTGGTGGTACAGGATGCCAAAAATGGGTCAGGGGGGGCTTGAGGAAGAAGGGGGCAGGAGAACATCCGGCAGCAGGACCAAGGCTGGAAAGAGGATGTGCAGCAAGTGGGAAATGCCAGGGCAGGAGGCACGAGCACAAAAGGACAGGGAAGAAAAGCTGACCTAAATTCGGCTCTGCTCTGCTAAGGGGCCTTAATTAGCACAAGCAATTAGGTTATTGCTGTGAAAAACGAGTCCAGCTCAGCTATGAGAAGTGAGGACAATCCTGAACACAGGAACTGCTTTAATAAAGAAGTTTCCCACCACACAGCAACAGCCTCTTCCAGAGCTGCTGCCCACACACTTCCACATGGGAAGGGGGCACGTCCTGGGGGCAGAAAGGAGAAGGATGACTTGAAGTTAAATAAGAATTTTTCTCTCAACATTTCTTCAAAACTGGAAAAACAGCTCAAAATCTTGTCCCTCTGCCCCCTCAGGTGAGACCCCCCTGCAGAGCTGCTCCAGCCCTGGGGAACAGCCCAGCAAGGACATGGAGCTGCTGGAGAGAGGCCAGAGCAGGAACCAAGAGGATCCCAGGGCTGGAGCAGCTCTGCTGGGAGGAAAGGCTGGGAGAGCTGGGATTGTTCAGCTGGAGAGGAGAAGCTTTTGGGTGACCTGATTGTGGCCTTGCAGGGCCTGAAGGGGCTCCAGGAAAGATGGAGAGAGATTATTTGCAAGGGATGGAATGACAAGACAAGGGGGAACGGCTTCCAACTGCCAGAGAGTAGGGTTAGATGGGATATCGGGAAGGAATTCCTGGCTGTGAGGGTGGGGAGGGGCTGGGATAGAATTCTCAGAGAAGCTGTGGCTGCCCCTGGATCCCTGGAAGTGTCCAAGGCCAGGTTGGACGGGGCTTGGAGCAACCTGGGACCGTGGGAGGTGTCCCTGCCCATGGCAGGGGTGGCACTGGATGAGCTTTAAGGTCCTTCCAACCCAAACCATTCCATGACTACAACAAAAAGCCTTTACAGGTCACCAGAGTGGGGGAAAGGGAAGAAGGATGAAGAAGACACTGTAATGTTTCCTTAAGGAGTTTCTGTGCCAGCAGATGATGCTTCTCTGTGACAGGGGATAAAGTCAATTCTGTCTGGTCTCCAGAAGTGCTACTTTGCCCTTTTTTGTGTAAAATCAGGGCCCCCCTAAGCACAAACCTGTCAATACATTTGTCCTTCTAAAAAGTACAACTCAAAGGACAGAAGCTCACCAAGATGTTCAAATACCTTAAGAGTTAACACACAGTTTAGGAGGAAACTTTACTCTTCCAATACATTTGCAAACATGACCATTTCTGAAGTATACAAATACCAAATTTCCCCCCAAAAAAACCCCCAAACCTGCACACATTCCATGCCTAATTAGAGATCTGCACCTCCTTTCTGCCCCTGTAATATTCCCATTAAAAATCCATGTTATATTCGTGGTGCACAGCTCTTCCACCATTGTGTTTTTACCTCAGACCTCCAAATTCCAGGCCCACTTAATGAATTAAAATTACAAACCTTTCCACGTGGAGTTAAAGGGGAAGCAACAAACAAAACTGACAGATTGACTGGCCAGAAATACCTTAATTTTAGCTTAAAACAGAAGGAATAGCCCTTTCCCATATTCAAAAAAATATCCAGTTAAAAGTGACATAAAGCAAGCTAAGGGGAGAAACTGTAAATCCAGTTTTCCCAGCATGAAAACCGTTCAATAAATGGAATTTTGGGGCATGGAAAGGATTTTTATGATACAAGTGTGTGGCTGGATGGACAGGAAAAAAAAAAAAGACCTGAACATTTCTGCTGAAAAACTAAATATTTCTAGATAAATTGTGATAAAAATTAAAAATATTCCTTCCTTTCCTTCCCTGTCCTTCATTCCCTTTCCTTCTGAGTCCCACCGGCTTCCCCAGAGCCTGGTCAGGGTCCTCCCGTGGTACTCAGGGGAAAGAAGGACAAAAAGCATCCTTTAATCCCAAAGACAATTCCCAAAATCCCAGAGCTGAGCTCCAGGTGGCTACAGGAGACCTGCGGGAAGCTGTGCCAGGCTTGGGGAGGAGGGAGAGCTCCGTGCAGGGAAACAGGGAAAGCTCTGGGAAGGGATACAGGGAAAACTCTGGGACACAGGGAAAGCTCCAGGTACTGGGAAAGCTCCAGGTACTGGGAAAGCTCCGGGACACAGGAGAAAAAAGCTCCCGGACACAGGAGAAAAAAGCTCTGGGATACAGGAGAAAAAAGCTCCGGGATACAGGAGAAAAAAGCTCCGGGATACAGGAGAAAAAAGCTCCGGGATACAGGAGAAAAAAGCTCCGGGATACAGGGGAAAAAAGCTCCGGGATACAGGGGGAAAAAGCTCCGGGATACAGGGATAAAAAAAAGCTCCGGGATACAGGGATAAAAAAAAGCTCCGGGCTGGAGTACAAGGAAAGCTCTGGGTAGGGACATAGGGAAAAGATTCGGGACACAGGGAAAACCCTGGGACGCAGGGAAAGCTCCGGGACGGAAGGAAAGCCCTGGGACACAGGGAAAGCTCAGGGACACAGGGAAAGCTCAGGGACACAGGGTAAGCTCTGGGACACAAGGAAAGCTCTGGGACACAAGGAAAGCTCTGGGACACAAGGAAAGCTCTGGGACACAAGGAAAGCTCTGGGACACAAGGAAAGCTCTGGGACACAGGGAAAGCCCTGGGAACACAGAGAAAGCCCTGGGAACACAGGGAAAGCCCTGGTACACGGGGAAAGCCCTGGTACACAGGGAAAGCTGCGGCACCGCGACGGCTCCGACAGGAGAGGGCGGACGCCGCCGCTTCCCGAGGAATGCCGCCTTCTCGGATGGTCCCGGGAGATTCCCAGCGGGAAGCCGCGACCCGCAGCCGGGCCGCGATCCACACACGGAATCCCAGGACGGCGGGGGTTGGAAGGGACCTCCGGAGATCGCCCAGGGCAGGGCATGGTAGGGCCACCTGGGGCGGGTGGCACAGGAACGTGTGTCCAGGTGGGTCGGGAATGTCTCCAGAGAGGAGACACCACACCCTCTCTGGTCTCTGTTCAGGGCTGGGTCACTGCCCAGCAAAGAAGTTCTTCCTCATATCCAGGTGGAACTTCCTGGGCATCAGTTCCTGCCCGTTCCTCTTGTGCCATTGCTGGGCCCCCCC